GCCCGCCTCTCTTCGTCCAGGAGCGATCTCCGCCCTGGAGGCAGCAGGGAGGACGCACTGGTAAGTTCCACTCCACTGGGGTACCCGTTGGGGTCCGGCCCCAGGTGTGGTCAGAGGGTGCTTTGTTGGGAGCGGCGGCAAGTTGGTTTCGCCCACCGGGTAAGGGGTGGACAGCGAGGTTGGGGTTTAGAGTGGAAGTGGCGGCGGCGGTGTGGGTGGGGTTAGACTGGGTGCACGTGTTGGGTGCCTGCGTTGGGCAGGGGGAGGAAGGCAGAGCTAGGCTTTGAAACTTCGAGAAGGGTCCGGCGTCCAGTGCACAGCTACCGCCGTCCTCGTTAGTATAGTGGTGAGTATCCCCGCCTGTCACGCGGGAGACCGGGGTTCGATTCCCCGACGGGGAGGCTGCCGCCTTTTTTTGGCTACCGCCCGCAACCCAGCCTTCTAGAGATCAACGGCCCTTCTTCACCGCCCTCCAGCCAGCACGTGCGCAGGGCGCCCTCTTGTGCCTGACACGTCCGCCCGCTCCCATCCCAACGCTCATCCCTACGGACCCCGCCCTCCGCCATTCTCCTTACCTCAGAGACCCCCCTTGGCCCTTTTGGCTCCCCGACCCCTTTGATGCCCCGTTAGTATAGTGGTTGGTTTTCCCCGCCTTCACGCGGGAGACCGGGGTTTCGTTCCCCCGACGGGAAGGCTGCCACCTTTTTTGGCTACCGCCCGCAACCCAGCCTTCTAGAGATCAACGGCCCTTCTTCACCGCCCTCCAGCCAGCACGTGCACAGGGCGCCCTCTTGTGCCTGACCGGTCCGCCCGCTCCCATCCCAACGCTCATCCCTACAGACCCCGCCCTCCGCCATTCTCCTTACCTCAGAGACCCCCCTTGGCCCTTTTGGCTCCCCGACCCCTTTGATGCCCCGCCTGGACTTCCTGGTCCTTTCCTTCCTCCCCGCTGGCCCCTTGGTCGCCTACTCTGAGCTGCTTCGTCGCGCCCCCACAGCGCCTGACCAATCGGAATGAGCTCCCTACGACGCACACGGCCTGGGGACCCCCTGTGGAAGGCGGATGAGCAAGTCCCTGGCGGGTGCGAGGAGGGTCCAGCCAGCAACAGCAAGGCAGCGATAGCGCCATCCGCGGCAGACAGGCAGGCAAGCAGGTCGGTAGGCAGGCGGAGGCCAGGAGGAAGGAGGGCTGGAGCCTCTTCTGGCCCACTGGCAGCGCGGAACCGAGGGTAGGCACGGCGTCGGATCAGGCTGCGCTGGCCGTGGCCACACGCCGATGTGACCGACGTGGCGGGACCACGGGCACCCAGCGGCGTTGGTGGTATGGTGGTGAGCATAGCTGCCTTCCAAGCAGTTGACCCGGGTTCGATTCCCGGCCAACGCAGTCAGTTTACCTTTTGCGCAGGTCCGGGTCCGTGGCATTGGTCTGTGTCTGCATGCGTGTGTACATAAGGGAAGGAGGCGCCTGCAGCTTGGAGGGTCTGCCAAGCGGGTGGAGAGCTGCCAGGGCACGCGTATTGCCAGGGGCGGCTGGTGGCCAAATTTTGTTTTCAACCAAAGCAGGAGCCAGGCACCTGGGTATTACGGAACCCTTGCCACCGCGGAGTGCCACTTTGTCCAGGAGGCATAAGCCTGGCCCACTAGGCAGGCCTCCCTGGTGGTCTAGTGGTTAGGATTCGGCGCTCTCACCGCCGCGGCCCGGGTTCGATTCCCGGTCAGGGAAACCTTTATTCTTGCAGTGCTGCTGCCTGCCAGACTTCCCGACGCCTTCGCACCTCCCTTTTGACCAACACGCTCGCTTTCATTGGGAGCTGGCTTGCTCCCTTCTCCCGCCTCCCAGCCACCACCTCCAGCGTCCTCCACGTGTAGCCTGACCCCTGGCTCCTGCGCCTCAGCCCATCTGGCCTTTTGGTCCGGCTGGCCACCTTCAGGCCTTCTGATTCTCTCCCTCTGCCCTCCCAGACGTTCGCCTCTTCGCTCTCATTCTTCCTCAGCCCAGAGCCCCAACCGGACCGGCCACGACAGCCTGCCTCCTCCTGATACAGGACAGGTGGCTCTCCAGCCAGCTGGGTCTCTCTCACCTCCTCTCTGGTGTTCGGGGAGCGGCAGCAGACAAGTGGTACCAGTAGGTTTGAGGGTAGGCAACAAGGGATGGGGCAGGAGGCTCCAGTCGCCGGTGGGCCAGACAGCTGCTAGGGAGACACCAGCTTCTTAGTGTCTCCCTCCCCTTGCACAACAAGGAACCCCCCACCCCCACCCCAATTTCCTAGGCCTGGTCAATATCATTTAAGTTTCGTAGGCCTGACCAATTTCATGAATGGACTATATCTATGAATATGCATTCATTTCACCTTACCCCAGAGGAAGGGACTGTATCCATTCATTTGTTACCAAGTCCTGCCCTAATGTATAAAGGGCCCATGTGACTATATATACCCCTAGACAAAGAACCCAGGAAAAGAGAGAGAG